AATCACACCAAAAAGAAGACCCTGGCAAAAATATGTCACAAAACACATCTAAAATGGGACCAGGCACTCCCCATTGCTTTGCTTTGAATTAGGGTGGCACCCAGAAGTGGATTCAAATGGAGCCCTTTTGAAATAGTTTATGGGAACCCCCTCCAAATTTATGCTTTAGGTATACCCCCTCTAGATTTGGAGCACAAGGCAAGAATGAAGCATATGTATAACATGTAGGGAAAACAATAACCATTTTGTACCAGTTTGCTCATTGCAGGTCTGTCTACCCATCTGACAAGCCCCTGCATCCATTCCAGCCAGGGGACGGAGTCTAACTGAAGACCTGGAAGACTCAGGGCCCTGAGGAGCTGCTGTCTGAACAATGGACTGGTCCCTATGATCCTACTGACAATGCATTCTTCCCTGAAGCTGATGGGAGTTAAGCTTTGGATTCACCACACATGGGTATAACAGGCACTACCAAAGGGGGACTTAGAGCCTACTGCTGTGGTTGATATTGAAAGGGAAAGCTGGATCTGCACTCCAGAGGAAAGTTTGAAATTTTTATCCTGGAGAGAGACAGCAAACCCTGATACAGGGTGACAATGTTTCTGTTATTTTATACATGTGTTTGTAAATCTAGGGACCTTTTAGCTGTCAGATACTGAGTTTAAGTATAGTCCTTCCCAGTGTGGGAAAGGAACAGGGATTAAAAGTGAATTATGGTTTAATCCGGATAGGTAAATATATATACACACACACACATACACACACACATATATGTGTATGTGTATATAAAGGTTGTGAAAGTTTTAAACCTGGAGGAAAGGAAACCACAACTACTTGTTTTCTTGTTTTATGGGAATGTGGTTTGTGTTAGGCTGTTTCTGATCAGAAATCTTCTGTATCTGTAGATCTAGGACAAGTCATCTGTAACCAGTTGAGGAGAATGCCTTTGTTACTCAGAACCCAGGAGTTGGCATTCAGGGCTGATGAGTGTTTTAGCCTGAGACAAAGGAGCATGTCTCTGCCAGGAGACGTGGCCTGAAAGGGCATGTCTCTGCCAGGGCACCAGTGGACACAGTGGTGCAAGAAAATGCCTCTTCCTGTGTACTGTTTTTCTGGGACTCTGTGTTCTGGATTTTGCTCTGCATCTGCTCTGAAAAGGAAACTGAGGTTTCCAGGGAAGGTTAAAACTTCACACTATGTAGAAAGGTAAAGAGGGAAAGTATAAGACATGGAAATGCAATCTTAGTGGATATCACAAAGACAAGGATTTTCCTTCATGCTTTGTATTTTTCTTCCCACCTGATCCCTCCAGAATTTGGCATTCCGAAGAAGTGAGTGATGACATAAGGTTTCTTTGCACACATCCAATAAGACCAATCATTAATGGTGGTTTTGTTAACCAAGATTTTTAAGGAAATGTCATGTTGGAAGGAGGCATGTCTGGGTTCTGGTTGTCACCAGGAAACCCTGAGGAACTGGGATTAGTTTGTGAAGCTAGTGAAAGACCTCAAGAAAAAGCATGGCACTTTGGTTGCTTATGTGGTTGTGACAGACTTTCCAGGGAAGGAACAAAGGTTGCTTTCCTAAAGGATGGCTAAAAAGGGACCTGTAGGCACAGTGGAAGCCTCAAGGACTTGAGTGAAAAAATTGGTATAGGTGAAGCCAGATAGCAAAGGTGTGGCTCTGCTTCTGTGCCCCTAGGGGCGGACTAAAAAATCAATCTAAAGGTTTCTCGTGTGAGTTCCAGCAAAGCACATTTAAAGATCATAAGTGATCCAGGCTGCTCTTAGTGTGTTTATGCAAACGGATAGGCAAAATTAAAAGCTGGACTCAATGTAGTCCCTTTAATAACAATGAGAGTGATCTTAAGAAGAAAAATCCTGGTTCAAGGAAAATCGCAATGCTCAGTATTAGACATTGGAATAGTGCAGCTAACTTGTCTTGAAAGTTTGTTTTCATTTGGAAGTTAAAAGTAGGTTTGTAATATCACCAAATATGTTCAATTTACAGGCACGAAGGACTTGTAAAATTGCCACTATTAAATGTCATTGCAACAAAGGCCCTGCAACTGGATGCAACTGGATGTCTTCCCAGAAAATATTCTCACAGGCACAGAGACTGACTTGAGGATTATTGTGTGAATTAACATCTGCGTTCTTCCTTCTGTTTTCATAGGGCGTATGCCTATGACCTCATTACCTTAGTGATTGGTTGCAATACGGACCTCTCTTAAGGCACTCATCTTCATCATCACCCCTGAGACTCAACCATTTGGCTGAACTAAGTGATTGGGTTAGTGAAGGGTTGGGGCTGTCTGTGGGCTTCACTTTAAAACTGACTTTCCCTTTTTTATCTTGATGGCTTGTACAGAAAGGGCCCAGAAATCTGAAAGGAAGGAAATCCTAAAATATTCCCCTCAGCTCAAAGAAAGTATAGTGGGCCACAAGGGTTTTGGATAGGTGCAGCATGCCTTATACACCTTCCTCCAGATAAACCATTCTTTACTTAAGTCCCTGCCTTCATCATTTAGTGGTCATGATTTAATTGTGTCTTCCAACTCTCTTGCCAAATCAGTCACCTCCAGAATATGACAAAGTTGCCAACTGTCCAGTAATGTCAGCTTTTGGACATCAAGCCTGCAACTTCCTAGCAGCAGTCAACTGACCTGGATTCTGGAAGGTCCTTCCCCTTACAGTAAGGACACCCACTATGCTGCCTGCCCAACTCTTTCAGGGAGCCCCTGACTGAAAGGTAAGTAGGATGACAGCCATGTCCAGCCTGAAGTAGATACAAAAAGATGAGACCTTTGCCCATTGTCTTTTATATTATTATAAAGGGGTTGTGTATTGGAAAGGGGAGATTTGTGCAGCCAGCGCTGCACCCCTGCAACAAAGAGGGATTTGTAATGGGGTCCAGAACTCAGGGTGTTCAGGAAATATTAAAAATATAGGATGTCCTCACTCCCATAAGTCTGAACTGGGGGATGGGACACATGGAGTAGGGCCATTGAGTTATTTCATATTCAACAGTTTTGTAAATAATCTTAAGAATAGTCATTTAACATATCTATAACTTTTGCCTAGTTTCATGGATATGTTAAGAAGCTGTGCTTGTGCTTTGAGCCAGGGAGATGACAGTGACTTCTACCCAGGATGTAGCTGGGAGGCAACTCCCCCTGGTTACAGTGCCTATGTGAAAGCTTGAAAATCGTTCTCTCTATGCCCAGAAAGGCTGGAAAAATATGGGAATACTGGTGAGTGGAACTGATTATGGGAGGAGTTGGAGATGAGGGTGCAGAGAAAGATTTGCACTGGGATTTAAACCCAGGTGCAGCAACCATACAGGTCAGAATCATGTGGCTATCTCGAGGTTTAAAACCACGTGGCTTTGGGGCTCCCTCTGCTACATGGCTTAGGAAGCAGGAGAGACCTTGCAGGGAAGGAAAGGGGTGAAAAGACTTGTTGGTAGGCCAGGAGAAGGTGCCATGTGGTTTTGGATTAAGAACTGGAGATTGCAGCAGTGACATAGCCAATGGTGCTGGGAACTGTGGGAGGCCTGCCAGCCAAGTACAGATTACTGGGAGGAACTAGGGGCCACTTCAGCCACAGACTTCTATCTCTTTTCCTGAGATACAGTACTCCAGACTGGGCAAAGGGGGGAAGGAAGGACTGTGTGCATTTGTGGGTGTTTTAAGGGACTTAGGGATTTTAACAAAGACATTAAGTCACTACTCTAAGTCTGTGTAACTTCTGAATAAATAGTTCCTTTCCTTTTCACCAATCTCTGGTACTGAGAGCTATAATTCCCTGGTGGCAGGCAAGGTGAACCTAGTACAGGGGTACCCCAGGAGAAGGGGTGGTCCATTTGATAATAGTATCTTGTCCCCCCCCCCATGGGTCTGTTCTGTATCAAAGCCACACTATTATTTTTTGTAATCTCAGGATTTATAAGAATTCTCGGAGTAGAGTAAGCTGACATTCCCTTGGTTGTTAATCATTACCTTTCCCTCCCATTTACCTCACCATTCAATTCTCTATCAACACTAGTCATCTTGACCTCCTGCCTGCTTTCCTTCTATCTTCATTGCTCTGTCCCCAGTGTAGACACAGCCCTCTTCCTTCATTTCTTGGAAACACTTAGGGGTTGAAACAGGATTGAAAGTAATGGAGGAAGTTGAGAAATGGGAGCTGCCACTCCTGGCCAGGGTCTATAGAAAGTTAAAGAAGCAGAGATGGCAACTAACTTTGGGGAATTTGCCTGAGCTTCAGTGGTAAGAAGTTCTAATCCATGGATGAATTAAATCATTTTAAGAAAATACTGCAGGGGTGGGAGGATGTGGCTGGGAGGCTGGTGCAGGGGTGTAGGAGAGTGGGATTTGCCAGCAGTATCAGGGGAAGAAAAAATATACATCAGGGAAATGTTATGCTAGTAAATCTGATATCATGAGGTCTTTTTTGAAGAGAAAAGTGTGACTGTGTCAAACACAACACTGTGGTGTGTAGGAGATAATTTCTCAGGTTTGGGGTTTCAGAAGAACATGACTACACAGAACAGGAAACAGCTGTAAACTGAATAAAAGACTGCAGTGTTCTTCAGTTCCTCAGTTAATTTTCCCACAGGGTATTCTGCCACAGTCTCCCAATTCCTGCCCGGTTACTTGTTGCTATCAAATCTTCACTTTTCCATGGATTCCAGAAGCCTAAGTTTCTATTTCTTGGTATGCCAGGAGTCAAACTAAAAGATTCCTGTTATTTAACTTTACAGAACATTTTTTCTACCCCTTTGTTTTAAGTCCACCCTTTTAAATGTGTGGGTTGGACGGTTGTGGGGGCTTGCTAAGCCTATGTGTATTTAACAAACAGCCCCATTACAATATCTACCTAAGTACAAGAGCAATCTTCCTTCTGATGTGTGATTTTATGATGCAGAAACAGCTCAAGTTTTTTAAAAAACATCTTTTCACCCCTTTGTTTTCTGCTATGGTTATATTACAGATGCCAAAAGAGGGAGAGAGGGCATGTAGGAGCAAAATTTCTCACAAGGTAAGAAGAGCTGGAATCTATAGTTTAGAATTTGCTTTGGCAACAAAAAGCAGTATCTCCTGTGATATTTTTGGGATAAGTGGAAGAATGGGGGGGACAATGGGGAGCAGAGAGGCAGGTCAGGTGTACTGAAATGCATGGAGTGTCTGAGAACTTTTATTTGCAAATGAGCTGCATATTTCTGATTTGTAGTTGAGGCTGATTCTGTATAAAGGTGTTTGAAAGAATAAACTGACCTCTTAGTGAAGGTTGTAAATACAGAAGCTGATTGCCAAAAGTGAAAATACAAATGACAAAGAGTTTCAAAGTAAACATCCTGAATATGATGTTGTGAAGTTTAACTCTGAAGCGAGCCAAGTTGAAATGTGGGAATGTGGGGGGAAAGAGGAAGGTTGTGAATTGGAGATGGGGTGTGGGTTACATGTGAGATGATTTTGATGTGAGCTGAAAGAAAAAATATCCCACAGAATATAAAATCCATTATTTGCTGGAGTAATTTTAAGATGAAGGTGGGGAGAAAGCCGGGCTTCTCAGTTGTTGACAGAATTGTCCATTCTATTGCCTCTTTACATGTAATTCAAAACCAAAAATCTCGCCCACTCAGATATCCTCTTTGCAGCCGTTTGGTTCTCATCCAAATGTTGAGTAATAAATAGAAGATGCAAGCCCTGAATACAGAGCTGCAACTTTTCAGGGGAAAAATCAAAACGAGATTACAAGGTAAGAATAAAATCACTATTCTAACAGACTTTTGTCAGGTTTTGCAAAATAAGACCTTGGAAATCATGAAGAACTGTTTTTTATTTGATAGAATAAATTAAGCTGATTTGATATTATTATTGCAAATCACAGTATAAATTGTTGATGATAGTTACTACTAACTTACACTTTTATTTTAGTTTTCTCTAGATGGTTTGGAAAATAAACTAGTTGCTAAAGTAGAGTCTAATAGTTTTTATAGTAAATGTCTCTCCCCTGCATCATAAAACTTCACAAAGGAAGTTGATAATTCTATTTCATACTCCTAAATCTCATCTAAGACAAACTTACAACTGTTTCGGTGCTATTCCCTCAAAACCATCTGCTAAAAAATAAACCATTTGTGGAAAAAAAATAAGCAATTGAAATCCAAAATGGGTAAATGTAAAAATTCATTACTTTTGCTGCTTTTCTTAAAGATTTTCTTTTAAAGTTCTTATAGCCCGCTTTATTTCTTGCTATCTCATAGCATTCTTTTTCTTCTTGACATTTTCTCTGCCTTATCTTTCCATGCATGAATATATGCCTCCAGACTATTTTAATAAAGAAGATGGCACAAAATCCCAAAGTGTGGTGGCTGCACACAAAGACCTGCAGAAGGTCTTTGGAGACTTGAGAGTGGAATGTTGAGGAGGAGAACCAGATGAATCTTTCTGACTCCCTCCTCAGCACTGTGCTTCCACTTGAATCATACCTGTACGCCACCATGGATGCTGTTCCCAACATCCTAGCCTATTGCTTTTCACTTCATCTTTCAAACACTTGATGTTTCTTTTTAATTTCAAACCTGAAAAGGCACAGCTCTGTGTTCAGAAAAATTCAGAATTCTCTGCTTCCAAAAGTTTGAGGTGCTAGAACTGAATCACATATTTTGGTAGAATACTTTAAATAATGAAGAACTCTGCACATGTATCACTCTCTGCTGCTCAAATTTTACGTTTTGTGTGTTTTTTGAAAGAGTCCTGGATTTTTTACTAATCCTTGACTGGTGGCTGAATAATTCATTTTCTCAGCAATGCATTGACCTAGTTATTTCTCTCTTTCCCATCATTAACTCACAATATCGACAGCAGAATGTATCAATTTCCCTTTCCCATTTATACCCAGGGAAGAATTCTGAGGGAAACTTTCACTTAGGGGTTGAAATAGGATTGAAAGTAATGGAGGAAGTTGAGAAATGGGAGCTGCCACTCCTGGCCAGGGTCTATAGAAAGTTAAAGAAGCAGAGATGGCAACTAACTTCAGGGAATCTGCCTGAGCTTCAGTGGTAAGAAGTTCTGATCCATGGATGAATTAAATCATTTTAAGAAAATACTGCAGGGGTGGGAGGATGTGGCTGGGAGGCTGGTGCAGGGGTGTAGGAGAGTGGGATTTGCCAGCAGCATCAGGGGAAGAAAAAATACACATCAGGGAAATGTTATGCTAGTAAATCTGATATCATGAGGTCTTTTTTGAAGAGAAAAGTGTGACTATGTCAATATCAATGTATCTCGCATTTAACAAGTTGAAATTTTGGCACACACAGTGGAAACTGAGAATGTTAGTCATTATTTACCTTTATTATATCAGTTAGCAGTAGGGGCATTTAGAAACATTAAGACCAAAAATAATCTTGAACAACAGAAAGAAACCTTAATTCTGTCCAAAACTAAAAGGATGCTTGGTTCAAGAACTTTAGCAAATCATGGAGCCTGTATCCTCTTTTTGGTTTCCTTCTGGGTCCTCTGGTGCTGGCATTTACATGCAAGAGGAACCTTTAAAGGGACATGCATGGCCTTAGAGGACAGGCAAAGTTCATTGGGGGGTGGGTAATGGGAAGTAAGGAGGTTGGGGTACTTCCTCTCTGTAGCAGACTCCTGACAAGATTCATATAATGGCCTTGTTGTTTTTGATAGATCATGCTATATCTGTGAAGGGTTTTGTTTTGTTGTTGCTTTAAGTGAAGAGTGCAATGTAGCATAACAGTAAAAGCACAAATTTTTAGAGTCAGACAGTCCTCAAATCCATCATCTATCATTGCCTAGCTAGATCATTTCAGTTTTACTTAACTTTCCTGAGCCTGAAGTTTTTTCTCTGGTGCTAAATGTAGAACAAATAAAACAATAACAAACCACCTGCACTAGGGGGTGCTGTGATGATTATGAAGGTAAAGCAAGTCAGAAGCAGTCATTAATAGTAACTGTTATTAATCACTGAACAGGTACTAAATGTGAGATACATTTCCCACATTATCCCATTTAATTTTTACAGAACCTCAGTGAGATAAATATTGTTTTCTCCATTTATAAAATTAAACAGTGAAATTTGGAAAGATTGTACTAACCCAAGATGATATAATCAATTAATTGTAGACCAGAGAGTAAAACCCAGATTCTAGTTCCATGAAGGAAAAAGAACCATAAAGAGGGAAGATCCAAGATGTGGTGGAGTAGGCAGAAGCTACAATAACTTCTTTGCAGGACCAAATTAGAATTACAAGTAAATTAAAGAAAAATCATATGGGATGACCATTTGAACACTAGCTGGAGAGAAGCCTTGTAACCAAGGATGTATGGAAGAAACCACATCACCACAACAAGACTAGTAGGAAGTACAGAGGTACAAATAGGTTAGCTGGGCTCCCACCGGTGGCAGCTGAAGTTCCAGAGGAATATTTCAGTGGCCAAGTGTGGGGGGTTCCCCCTAAAATGTGTGGGTTCTACACCCCAAGCTAGGCTCCACAGACTAGAGCACTAGAACAGAGAAAGGAACCTAAATAACATCCAGCTTTAAAAAGTAGCAGACTTTTTGTCTGCCAGGGAGAGATGGCTAGGGACACAGAGAGCCTCTTAAAGGGCCAACATACACAATTTTGTTTGTAGACACCTAGCCTGGGCTCTAGCAGAGGGAGGGCAGAGCAGACTAGAGCCATGTGAGGAGAGTGGGATTGGTGGCTTTGGGGAGAGAGCTAACAGGACAGCCATGATGATTCCTATGCTCAGTCATTCCCCATGCTGCAAGTCATCTTTCTCAGGCAGAGCACTCCCCTCCACAGAGAATCAGCTGTGGGGTGGGGAGCACTAGCACTTGCAAACTATAGAAATCTCTCTTTGGAGAGGTGTCTATTCATATTGTTTGTTCATTTTTTAATTAGATTGTTTGTTTTATTGTTGTTGAGTTTTATAAGCTCATTATAGATTTTGAATATCAACCCCTTCTCAGGTGTTTTGGCAAATATAATCTCCCACTCTGTGGCTTGTCTTTTTATTGTTGATGATTTCCTTTGCTGTGCAAAAACTTTTTTCTATGATGAAGTCCCATTTGTTTATTTTTTCTTTTGTTTCCCTTGCCTGGGGAGATATATCTGGTAAAATATTGCTGTGAGCAATGTCTGAGATTTTACTGGTTGTTTTCTTCTAGGATTTATATGGTTTTTGATATAATATTTGTCTTTAATCTATTTCGAGTTTAACAGCACAAGTGTCCATCAATAGATGAGTGGAGAAAACAACTATGTGTACTCTGAGACCAAAGCATTCAAAATGACTGAGCCAGTAGAGCAACAAATCTACATCAAATATTGCATTAAGCTGGAACAGTCCTCCATGAAAATTATTTGGAAGACTCAGAAGGCTGTAGCTCTGGGCAACTGGTGACTGGCAGCTTCATCATAACAATGTACCTGATCATGCACCATGTCTCATGCAGAGTTTTGTGGTGAAACATGAAATCACCCAAATGACTCAGCACCTCTACAGCTCAAATTTGGCAACCTGCAACTTCTGGCTGTTCCCAAAACTAAAATCACCTTTGAAAGGGAAGAGGGATTAGACTGCCAGTGAGATGCAGGATAATAAGACAGGGCACATGCTAGCAATTGGGAGAACTGTGGGAGATCCCATGGTGTCTTCTTGGAAGGAGACTGAGGAATCATTGTTCTATGCACAATATTTCTTGTATTTTATATTTTTTCAATAAATGCTTATTTTTCATATTAAAAAAAAAAAAAGAAATCTCTCTTGCCCTACACTGTGGAGCTTAACTCCAGCTGCTAAGGATTACACCTAGACACTTTCAGTGATAAAGCCTAGCAAAAAGCCTGCAGGTGGAGGCAGATCTGTGGGAGCTCTGAGACTTTAGCTAATCTTCCCCCAGGCCTAAAGTTGGTAAAAGCCAGCCATGATGCACGGCCCTACTCTTTCTGAACATACCCAGGCCCAGCAGAGAGAGCCACAAGCTGTGGAACACAGATAGCTCTAAAAGGTTATCCAGGGCCAGTCACAGGCAGCATCTGAAATAGGACTGCCCCAGAGTCTTTGCAGATCTACTTAATAAATAGAAACAAAACCAAAGAGGCAGCCAAAGCAATTTATCAGATAGAGTTTAAAGTAATGATTTTAAGGATGCTCAACAGCAAGAAAAGAGACAGAAATCATTAAAAAATGATCAGTCACAAATAAAGAATGAAATATCTGAAATAAATAATACACTAGAAGAAATAAACAGTGGGTTAGATGAAGTAGAGGATCAAACCAGTGATTTGGCAGACAAGGTAAAAAAAAAAAAAAGCACTCAAGCAGAGCAGCAAAAAGAAAAAAGAATTTTGAGAAATGAAAAGAGTTTAAGGAAACTTTGGGAAAACATAAAGCAAAATAACATCTCCATCATAAGAATACTAGAGGGAGAAAGAGTGAACAAGGGATTGGTACCTATTTGAAAAAATAATGACTGAAAACTTCCTTAGCCTAGTGAAGGAAAAAGACACACAAGTTCAGGGAATATAGAGAATTCCAAACAAGATGGATCCAAAGAAGCCCACACCAAGACACAGCATATTAAAATGGCAAAGCTTAAAGAAGAGAGAGTCTTAAAAGCTTCATGAGAAAAGTAGTTACCTACAAGGTAGTTCCCATTTAGACTGTCATCTGACTTCTCAACAGAAACATTTCAGGCCAGAAGGGAGTGGCATGAAATATTCAAAGTGATGAAAAGCGAGGACCTGCAACCAAGAAATAACTGTCAACAAAAAAAAATACAAAGGATTGTAAGAAAATATTATGAACAACTATATGCCAACAAATTGAACAACCTGGATGAAATGGATAAATTCCTAGAAACATACATCTTCCAAAACGAAAGCAGAAATTGTAATGAAATCTGAATGCAGATTACACCTATTTGTAAAAAAGTCTGTACTCAGAAAATTATGATACTGAAGAAATTGAAGAAGATACAAATAGGTGGAAGCATATAACATGTCCATAGATAGGAGGAATTAATATTACTAAAATATCCATACTACCCAAAGTAATCTATAGATTCAATGCAATTCCTACCAAAGGTGTATCTCAGAGAACTAGAACAAATATTTAAAAAATTTATAGAGAACCACAAAAGACACTGAATAGCAATAGCAATCTTAAGAACAAAGTTGGAGGCCTCATGCTACTTGATATCAAACTACACTATAAGACCATAGTAGTCAAAACAACATGGTACACGTATAAAAACAGACACACAGATCAATGAAACAGAATAGAGAGCTTGCAAAAGAAAACATCAGCAAAATAAAAAGACAACCAACTAAATAGGGGAATGTACTTGCTGATAAATCTAATATGGGGTTAATACTGAAAATTTATAAAGAACTTATAAAACTCAACACCCCCCAAAAAATCCAATTAAAAAAATGGGCAAAGGACCTGAATAAACACTTATTCAAAGTAGACATACAGATGACTAATAGACATATAAAATGATGCTCAACCTCACTAATCAGCAGAGAAATGCAAATTAAAACCACAATGAGATAATATCTCACACCTGTCTGAATGACTATAATCAGTAAATCAGAAAACATCAAGTACTGGGGAGGGTTTGGAGAAAGAGAAACCTTTTTGCACTGTTGGGAATGCAGACTGATGCAGCTACTGTGGAAAGTACTGTGGAAAGCACTATGGAGCTCCCTCAAAAAATCAGATATGGAACTGCCTTATGACTCAGAGATTCCACTTCTGGGAATATATATAAAGAAACCTGAGACACTAAGTTGAAAGAATATAAGCAACCTTAAGTTCATTGCAGCACTATTTACAAATGCCAAGATATGGAAGCAACTCAAGTATCCATCAGTAGATGAGTGGATAAAACAACTATGTTACATTTACACAGCAAAATACTACTTGGCTGTAAAAAAAAAAAAAAGAGAGAAGAAAATTTTATCCTTTGTAACAGCATGGATGAACCTGGAAAACATTATGCTAAGCGAAATAAGCCATTCAGAGAAAGACAAATACCATATAATTTCCCTAATATGCTCGATTTAATGAACAAACTGAACTACCAAGGGAAGGGGAGACAGACTCATAGACTTATGGAAAGAGAACAGGCTGATAACTTTTGGAGGAGCAGGATTGGGGGTGGAGGGATTGAGCAAAAAAGAAAAAGAACTCATGGACATGGACAACAGTGGTGATTATGGGGGGAGAGGGGTGGGTGAAGTTGGAAGAGGGTATAGGGTAGGGGTGTCAAACTCATTTTCACTGGGGGCCACGTCAGCCTTGCAGTTGCCTTCAAAGGACCGAAATAATTTTAGAACTGTATAAATGTAACTACCCCTTAACTGTTAAGGAGTTGTAATTACATTCAGCCCTTTGAAGGCAACCGCAAGGCTAATGTGGTCCCCAGTGAAAATGAGTTTGACACCTCTGGTATAGGGGATAAAGAGTAATAGGAAAAAATAAAATAAAAATGGTTAAACTAAAAATAAATAAATAAATAAATAAATAAATAAATAAATAAATAAATATTTAATAAACTCAAAGAAGAGAACCATGAAGAGAGATAAATTCCAAACAACTTCATTTGGTGCATCTTTGATCCTCTTTGAGAAGCTATTTTCCATTCAAAGTTTTCATTATTCTTAAATATAAAAATATTAGTGAGATGACATTAAAACAAGATACCTATTTTCTTTAGGGCTACATTCATTGCCATTTGAGGGAAACTGTGCCCTGCCAGCCCATTTTCATGAGTAACTTTAATTTGCCATTTCCACTGATATTGCCAGAACCAAAGGGAGTGCACCCATGAAATTGGCTGGATGCTTCACTTTAATTAGCATACTAGTTTACATCTAACATCTAATTCCCCTTCACTTTCAACACCTGATAAATTGGATAATCATCACAATTTCCCTAGCAGCTCCAGTGTATCTGAGACCTTTTGCAATTATAAGAACATTTTGCTCATTACTTCTCTTGGATTTCCTAGCAAAGACTCAATACTTTCTTAAAGAGTTTGACTGAACTTTATAGTTTTGCATATCTGCTATGTTCAAATCTAAACCAATCTAACTTCTTAGCCTGCTAGCTCTATCAATGGCAGTTAAGAAATGCTATTTTACCTCCTGAAATGAGGCTCCCCAGATTAACTGAACTGACTTATTCTCAGGACTGAATGAAATATGGAGCTGTCTACCAATTTATCTTCTGAAATGTAAAACTTATTTATAATTTCAAAGGTAGGACTGAAGGAAACCAAAATTTTGCCACACTGAAGCTGCTCTTTGATATTGATCTTAATATCCCAAGTCAGGGCACATGCTTGGGTGGTGGGCCAGGTCCCCAGTTGGGGGCATGCAGGAGGCAACTGATGAATGTTTTTCTTCCTCTCCTCCCCCTTCTCTTCTCTCTAAAAATAAATAAATAAAATCCTAAATTAACTGTAACAGAGTGCAGCCAAGAGGTGGGCCCCAAAAAGGGATTTGAAATGGGGTCCAGAACTCAAGTTATTCAGGAAATATTAGGATGTCCTCACCCCTTCCCCCCACAGGTGTGAATTGGGGGAAGGAACAAATGGAGCAGAGCCATTGAGAGCTGTTTTGTACAGCAACAGCTTTGCAGCTAACCTCTGGCATGGTCATTTAATAACCTTTAACTGGTTGCATAGATATGTTAAATAGCTGTGGCCATACTTTGAGCCAGGGGGATGGAAGTGACTTCCACCTAAGATGTCACTGGGAGGTAGGCCCCTGAGTTACAGTGCCAGCATGAGAGCTTGGAAATGATTGGCTCCATGACATGGGGCAATGCCTGCCCAGACTCACAATGGCAGCCCAATAAAGCTAGAAGCATATGGGAATGCTGGCAAGTGTAGCTGATTGTGGGAGGAGTTGGAAATGGGGCTGAAAAGGAAGATTGGCGTGGGGATTTAAACCGAGACTCAGCAGGCATTTGAAGGGGAACCACACGGCTGTGGGAGTAAGGAGAACCATGCAGCTTTGGCAGAATGGGGGCTCTCACAGCCATGTGAGAGAGAATCACCATGAGGCTTTAGCAGAGAAGCACAACTCTGCTTGGGCAGAGTGGTGACTGCCCCACCTCCCCACAGCTTTGGTGGAGAGAAAAGAGAGCCATGCAGTTTGGCCAGAGTGCAGACCCCCGAGGCTTTGGTGGAGAGAAGAACCATGCAGTTTTGGCCAGAGTAGGGACTCCTCCAGCTTTGGTAGAAGAAGACCACATGGCTTTGGGGTACTCCCTTTGGCCAAGTGGCCTGGGAAGCAGGAGAGACTTTGCCTGGAAGAAGGGTGAAAGAACACTTGCCAGTAGGCCATGAGAAGGTGCCACATGACTTTGGAGTAATTAGAGATCCTGCCTGGATGGCAACACAGCTGACGGTGCCAGTGGCCTGAAACATGGATGTCTGCTTCTTTTCTGGAGTTACAGTACCCCAGATTAGGGCAGGGGGAGAAGGAAGTACTGTGGGCATCTATGGGTATCCAAAAGGACTCTGATATTTTAATGAAGACATTAAGTCACTACTTTAAGTCTGTATAGCTTTAAATAAACATTTCCTTTCCTTTTCACAAATCTCTGGCATTGAGAGACCTTTTTTTCCCTAACGCAGCAGACTAATGAACCTGGTAGGGGGTCCTTTTGGTAATAGTATATGGTCACCTGCCTCGGTGCCTGTGTTCTGTAACATAACTATGAAGTTACCTTGGAATACCAAAATTTTAATTAAAAAAAAAAAAGAATGCCCAAGCTTGTAGAAAATTTTTTTTAATTGATTGATTTTAGAGAGAGAGGGGAAAGTAGAGAGAAACGTTGTTTGTTATTCCACTTATTTATGCATTCATTGGTTGATTATTGTATGTGCCCTGACCCCTGCAGAAAATATAAGAATTTACTTCAGTCAAACACAACAATCTCGAAGAGAAGCAAGATCTCAAATGCTCTGAAGAATTAGTTTTGCAGTTTCCTTTATACCTTTGGAATTAAGGAGGGAACATAAGGAAGATTACATAAAGGTGAAAGAAAGCAGGTGGGGATTAAAGTACAGGATAGTTTAAAAGATTATGTACTCTCTCTCCAAGGGGTAATACCCCTTGAGAGGGGTATTACTTCTGGCATTTCAAAGGTGTGTTAATCTTGATGCACAAGAATAATGTACAGGGCTGGCTTAAAGCCTTTTGGAAAAGAAGTTATAGGCCCCGGGTGAGATTACCCACTTTAACTTGATGGTTAGGAATGTATTATCACCTCACCCTGTGAGATTACTTTCGGTTAGCTTTCTTACAGCTCCTGGTTTTTTTTTGTCCATACCCCTGCATTCTTTCACTTAGGAGCTTATTATACCCAAACATGAATTTCCCTCTAACCTGAATATATTAGTTCCACAATTTTGCCTCCTGAGGTTTTCTCTTTTTTCCATTATCTTTTGTACATAAATTATGTATTACTTGTCCACATTCTTTAACAATCTTGTTTAAACAATATCACAGTAAAAGATTAAAGGTCAGCAAGCCTATTACCATATTTTGCCATGTATAATGCCCACATTTTTGAGGGAAAAATCTGTTCTTGTGTTTTGTAATTATTTGTTACATAAAATTTCTTGTACCATAATATGTTCAAAAATAAGTGCTAAAATTTCTTTATAATACAAAAATAAGTTTTTAAATATAAATAAATAATTGAATTAAAAATTAAAATGAGAGATTTTTTTCCCTCCAAGTTTGGGCTAAAAATGTGGGTGTGCATTATACATGGCAAAATATGGGTCGTATGTAAGCCAAGTTTATTAGTGATACATTTTCATAGAAGAGAACAGGCCTACCTGAGGTGAGTGAGAAAGGCATAGGCACTTGGTCTCTTTGTCCTGAGGATTTACATAATTTATGGGGTGGGGTAAGGGAATTACATATCAATTTGGTGAGAGAAGGTGGTGCATACTTCTCTAAGGGAGGGCATGACCTCCTAAATGTAAGCATGAGTGGAGGTCTATTAATTCAGTTTTTTATCTTGCTCCAGACCACCTCTTGTTATTCTGTTATAAGCAGATACCTGGCTGGAGGCAGTTAATCAAAATTATTTATAAGCTTTTTCTCATAATAATTTCTCATAAATTAGCTTATTTATGCAAGTACTATGGACCCCCTTCCATCCCTCTTCGTTCTCCAAAACTTCTGTCTAACAATATCATAGTGGACAAATTTCCAGACCTCTGAGCTCTCTTTTCTGTTCAATGTGCCACAATTTATTTATTATAATGTAGATAGACATTTGTATTGTTTCCAGTTTAGAAGTACATAACTAAAACTTCTATAAACATTCCCTTACATGTCTTTTGGTGACATATTAATGCCTTTCTATAGAGCATATACCTTCAAGTAGAATTGCTGGGCCAAAGACAGCTTTAGTGGATACAACCAAATTATTTTCCAAAGTGGTTGTAGCAATTTACACTCTCATCAGCCATGTATACAAATTCTAGGTGTCCTGAATCCTTGCAAATCCTTCTTTTTTTCCTGTTTTCCTCATTTTAGCCATTCTGACAGGTGTGCCTTGTATAGGCATTGTGGTTCTCTTCAACTTTAATGTATACATTTTCTTTACCCTTTTCTAGAAATATATTTTGTCAGACTGGGGCAACTAGTATTTTTCCCCAGACTTGAATTAGCTAGCAAATACACTTTATAAAATTTTTTCCCTAGGATTGTAATTTTGGAGCTGAGGCCCTCCTCTGGCAAGCCCCAGTTGAAGGCGACATTAATTATAGAAGAAAACAAGCCATTATATTGTATTTGGGTTTCAAAATAATAGTCAGGAATCACTTTTTTAAAAATGTTATACAGTCTTGGCTGGTGTGGCTCATGGATTGAGCACCAGCCTGTGAACCAAAAGGTGACTGGTTCAGTTCCTAATCAGGGCACATGCCTAGGTTTTGGCCAGGTCCCCAGTTGGAGGCATTAAGCAACAAATTAATATTTCTTTCCCTCTCTTTCTCCCTCCCTTCTCCTCTCATTAAAAATAAATAAATAGAATTTTAAAAATTAAAAAAATGTTATACTATAGTAGAACAAAAAGGATTATTTTCTTAACTCATGGTCACAAATTGACTTTTTATACAATTTTAATGCAACATACTTTAAGAAAATTTAGTCAAGTTATTGTTGAATCATTATGAGCTAATAATAATCCATCCTCATTAATTTTCTTAAATAAAACACTGTTCAAATAACATACTTAACAAAGTATACACTTTGTGAGATGTATCACAAGCATTTGATTAACTTGATCATCTAGAGGTTCTACATGTGACATCAAAGTACTGAATGCTGATTGGTTGACTATTTTTTTAAAGCACAAAGATAATTCTTTTTATTTATTTATTTTATTAATTTTTGTGTTCAGTTATAGTTGTTCTCATTTTTCCCCCATTGCTCTCCCCTGTTCTGCCCATCCCTGCTCTCCCATATTCAATATACCCCCACCTCGTAGTCCTTGACCCTACTTCTTCTTTCCCTGATTATTCCCCCCCCTCCTCCCTGTCACTGTCAATTTGTTCTTTATTTCCATATCTCTGGTTGTATTTTGCTCGCTTGTTTGTTTTGTTGATTAGGTTCCACTTATAGGTGAGATCATATGGTATTTGTCTTTCACTGTCTGGCTTATTTCACTTAGCATAATAATCTTCAGTTCTATCCACACTTTCCTGAAAGGTAGGACTTCTTTCTTTCTGCTGCATAGTATTTCATTGTGTAAATGTACCATCGTTTTTTGATCCACTCATTTACTGATGGGCACTTAGGCTGTTTCCACACTTGGCTATTGTATTAAGCACAAAGATGATTCTTATCTTCTGGCTGAGTGTCTGAAGCCTCTAAATAGAAAGTCCAGGCAAAGCAAAGTGCATTTTTGAAACTTATTTTTAGTCTTCATAGTATAGCTAAGCAATTTACAAACCCAAAGCAGTTGACTCCCATTCTTATGGAGAAAAGTTTTTTTTAATGTTGTTTTTAAAGCTGGTACATTTATCTTATACCTAAATTGATACTATGGTCTCCCTTTTCTTGGTACTAGATTTTAGAGACTAAGAGTCCATCTTTTCCATTTCCATAAACATCTTTCTCATTCTTTTAGAAATTCTTCTTGTTATTTCCTGGTTTTTTAAAGCTGCCTTCAAATGAAATCTACTAGTTCCCAGGATGAATCCAGAAGTATCTAGTGACATCCCTACGTACTGGGAATGAAAATTGATATACTTTCACTGGCTTTAAAATATATGTGTGAAATCTGGAATTAATTTCTTTGTATCAGTGTTTCAGGTGGTTGATAAATATACCCAAGTCAGCCTTCCTCTTTACAAATGAGCTAATTTAAAGTTATATGTATCACTCTACCTTGAAGATAATCTTCCACATCTAAAGATCAGTCTGAAATCTCTTATTTCTCTTAAAAAATGAACAGTAAATCACCTGATAGAATTTAGGATAGGCATTTTGTTAGGATTTGGAATTGTGCCAGTATCAAACCATTTTAGGCTTTGGAATGTGGGCACCGTTCCCAGAGTCAAAGCTGACATTAATGGGCAAGTTCTGATCCTCAGTTAAGCAATCTGGTTTGATGGATTGTATTGCTGCCAATAGCAGATGCCCTCACATTTGTTGGCCTATATTTGCTGAAAATTAGAAAAAATCCAGAAGTAATTCTTATATACATACAGATACCCACCTACCTACAAATATACATATACACACATGGATGCAATTTCTATCTGTTCATGAATAAACAGAGATGATACATTTGGATATATCAGTGTTGCCTGCCCTGGCATGTTGTCTTCTTTTGTGGATCTAGGTATAAACATTTTAGGTAGCAAAGCATCCAAGTCTAAAGCAGTAAATTAAGTTAAAACTGTAGATTTTATCTCCAGTTTTGCTGATTTATGACCTATGACTCAGATGTATATATACATGCTCTGGCTTGGCACCTGCTTTTTCCTGGTCTATTTTTCAGCAAAGCTTTTACCCAAGGTGAGAATTTCCCTCCAAGCTTTGTTCTGCTGCCTCCTTCTACTGTGGCAGAATGCTGTGCCAGAACTATTTGCTGGGACTCAGTTTTAATCCCATCTTCTAAAACCTTTCTACCTTCATGTTATCTGACAAGATAGAAGGAACGAATCAAGTCTATACTCCTTACCCCATGCCCCAAAGTGAGCAGTTTCATTGATTCCTAGAGATGGGACACTGTACTATATAACAATGTATTCAAACAGTTATTAAATTCTATACATGGGACATAAAGACAATACCAAAAAATTCCCCGATAAACTGAAACTGTTCCCTGTATTTTCTTCACATTTTGTTTCTCTTTGCTGTTGTATAATATTTTAAAGAAAAGTAGCACGATACAGGTTAAAAAGCAGTCACAGCTACCACCCTGGAATTTGGGAGACTTGAGTTCTGGTCCTGGCTTTACCCTGTACCCCCTCACTATGTGATTTGAGTAAGATCTCCTCTGAGTGTTACTTCCCTCATCTGTAAAATAAGGAGTTTTAAGCCGCTACACAGTTTTTAATGGTACTCAGTGGACTACCAAGGGGCTTTACTAGTTTTGCAAATAGCTGATGTTCATTTCACAGGTTCTGGGGCTCCTATAACACTTAAATATCCATCCATATGCCCAGTAAAGCTTTCCTTTTTGCTTATCCAAATAGTTTTATTGTCCTCAGTGACCGATGTTACAATCTTCTCTCTCTTTTTAAAATGTTCTGCAATTTCATACTTAATATATCAAGATGTGGGTTTCTTTCTTTCTTTTTTAAACCTGATTGAAATTTAGTGGGTTTCTTGGATCTGAGGGTGGGGTCTTCAATAATTCTGAAAAGTTCTCAGCCTTTATATTTTCAAATATTGTTTTTTATTCTACCATGTCCTTCTAAAATTCTGAATAGATACATATTAGACTGTCTTATTCTGTTCTCCATATCTCTCATTCCCTTTTACATATTTGCCATCTATATGTGTCTCTGGATTGTATTCCAAACAGTGCCTTCAGATATATTTTCTAGCTCACTGACTCTTTGTCTATGTGTGATCTGCTGTTTAGTCAATCCATATGGAGCTTTAATTTCAATAATGTATTTTCACTTCTAGATAGTTTATTTGAATTTTTTTAAATCCACTTGTTCTTTGTTGATATTTTAAATCTTCTTAGAACCCTAACCAAACATATTAAAATCAGTTAATTTATATGTTCTTTCTGATTGTTCTAACATAGGAAGCCTTTGCAGATTAGCTTCTACTATCTGTTTCCTCTGTGGGCTCTCATTATGGAACTTAGTATTCTTGTTTGCTTTATGAATTGTGACTGAAAAGTAACTGCTCATTTGGCCTGGAAATTTTATTGTGTAAATACTTTGTGAGTTGGTCTGCACCTCAAGGTAAGATTTGTGTTTGTCCTTCTCATTTGTCTTGGAACTCTACCAAACTATAATCACTTTATATTAAATTCTCTATTTCAGGCTTTTGAAAGCACACTGGTAGTGTGATTTCAGACTGCAGCCCCGCGTGGGAGCTGACTTTTCAAGAGAATATCAAGTCTCAGAGGAATAGTCTTCTTTCTACCTAGTGCCAGAGTTAAGACAAACAAACTTCCTAGCAGTCCCCTCCTGCAGGTGGGTTGATTTATGTCAATCACTCTCACATTGTGAGTTTAGTCCTTTGGGTATCCAGGTTTATGCAGCAGTTTCCTATTAAAATCCCCATCTTAGCCATAACCTGGGGCTTACCTCCTGGCCCCTGCACTTCACGTGCTTGTCTGCCCTGTCTCTAGCACTTAGCAGACAACTTTAGGGAAAAGCCCAAAGTGCTTGCCTCCCAGTGTTTTAGACACTGCATTCTTTTTTAAAAAAAATAATTTTATTTAGTTATTTTTCAAGTACAGTTTTTTTGTCTATTTCTTCCATCCCAGCCCCCCAACCCTATGCTCCCCACCTCCCTCCCATTTCCACCCCCCTTAGTTCTTGTCCCTGTGTCCTTCATACTTGTTTTTCCAAATCCCTCCCCCTTTTTCCCCTTAAATTCCCTTCCCTCTCCCCTCTGGTCACTGCCCACTTGTTCTCTATTTCAGTGTCTTTGTTTTTATTCTGCTTGCTTATTTGTTTTGTTGTTTAGCTGCCTGTTAAAATGAGATCATATTGTATTTGTCTTTCAATACCTGGCCTATTTCACTCAGCATAATGCTTTCCAGTTCCATCCATGTTGTTGCAAAGGGTAGTAGCTCCTTCTTTCTCTCTGCTGCATAGAATTCCATTGTGTATATATACCACAATTTTTTGATCCATTCATTTACTAATGGGCACCTAGGTTGCTTCCAACTCTTGGCTATTGTAAATTGTGCTGCTATGAACATTGGGGTGCATAGGTTCTTTGAAATTGATGTTTTAGGATTCTTAGGATATAATCCTAGCAGTGAAATTGCTGGGTCAAAAAGCAGGTCGATTTTTATTTTTCTGAGAAAATTCCATACTGTTTTCCATAATGATTGTATCAGTCTGCAATCCCACCAACAGTGAACTAAGGACCCCTTTTCCCCACAACCTCTCCAACATTTGTTGTTTGTTGCTTTATTTATGATAGCCATCCTGACCAGTGTAAAGTGGTATCTCATTGTGGTTTTAATTTGCATCTCTCTGATAGCTAACGATATTGAGCATCTCTTCATGTGTCTCTGGATATTCTGTATGTCCTCCTTGGAGAAGTGTCTGTTCAAGTCCTTTTTCCATTTTTTAATTGGGTTAGATATCTTCTTAGAGTGGAGTCGTGTAAGTTCTTTGTATATTTTGGAGATTAAACCTTTTAGACACTGCATTCTTCACTTTCATGCCAGTTCAACAGTAAGTTTGAAAGGATGTTTTTAAAATATTTTTCTCAGCATTTTAGTTATTTTTGTCAGGAGGGTTGGTATGGTAACTAACATACTATTATGCTTAAAACAGAATTTTTTGGTTAATAAAGTTTATAATGAACAAATGTTAAAATGTTTAAAATTAAACCATACTATCAATTAATAATTTTTCTATCTCTTAGGGTTTTATGTAACATTTGTTTTCAGAAAAGGATTCAACTTCTTTAAAGTTTAAAAAATTTCTTCTACCAACAAGAAAGTATAATGATTTTGGCTTATAATGCTACTAAATCTACTCAGGAGCTAGAAGCCACCACTGATGGTATCTGAACTGGGCCTCTGTCTCACTCTCCCTAACAGTGTCATATAATCCGGGAGGCATGGGCCCATGACATGTTTTCAAATATTTAATTTTGCTTTCTTAGTAGCAAAATCTTTCTGTCCTCTAAAAGTTTAAGCAGAAGCCTGCCATGGATAAAGAAGTACTTCTCTGGGTGTTGGTGTAGAAAGGAAAGTCTGAAGCCCAGTAGGTTTGGATTCCTTCACCCCTTTTCAGGAGCACCTCATGAATTTAAAAAATGTTTGCTTGAGATTTTAGCTATGGGAACTTGGGCAAATTACTTGATCTCTCTGTGCCTCAGTTTCCTCATTTGTAAAACAAGGAACATAAGAGTGCCCCCTACAAAGTTGTTATGACAATTGAATGAGTTAAATATATTTAGAACTAAGTACAGTACTTGGCACAGAGTTAATACTATATAATGGTTAATTTTTAAAAACCACAAAACTTTTAACTCAGCGCACTCCTATTGATTTTTTCACACTCTTCTAATTTTTTTTGCAAAATTCATCATTTGAATATTGTCTAGTCTTAATTAAAAAGAATTTTAAAAATTCACCCTGGCCAGTATGGCTCACTTGGTTGGAGTGTCATCGAAAGGTCAAAGGTTCAATTTCTGGTTAGGGCACATGCCTGCACTGCTGGTTCAGTGCACAGTCAGGGCACATACTAGAGGCAATTGATCAATGTTTCCCTCCCTCTTCTTTCTCTTCTCTTCCCCCTCTCTAAAATCAATAAGCATGTCCTCAGGTAGGGATTTTTTTTAAAGCACAACTAGCAACAACTGAATCTAAAAAACCAAACTAAGCAAACAAGCAGAGCAATTTCAGAACCATAGATATGAAGATCATTTGGAGGGTTATCAGCTGGGAAGGGGAAGGAGGAGAATGAGATAAAAGGTGCAGGGATTAAGAAGTACAAACTGGTAGGTACAAAAATAGACAGGGGGAGGTTAAGAACAGTATAGGAAATGGAGAAGTCAAAGAACTTATATGCATGATCCATGGGCATGAACTAAGGGAGGGATTACTGGAGAAAATGGGGGTACCCAGTGGAGGGTGGGTGACAAAGGGAAAAAATTGGACAACTGTAATAGCAAAATCAATAAATATATTTTAAAAAAGAAAAATTTATCTCAACTTTAAATTTTAGACTTAAACTAAAGCCAAAGACCTATGTGTTCCATGTTATTTCTTTCCTACACATTGTTTTCATCTAGCACTTACATCTTTCTGAACACACACACACACACACACACACACACACACACACACACTCATCCATAGGATTTCCTTGTCCCTGTAGTTTTTCTTAAGGCAAAATGCAGCCAAGTCCTTGGTTTATCTAGATTTCAGATCCTCCTCCTAAAACATGACTACGGGTTATTTAATTCTACCTTTATTCACCTGTTGTAAGATTAGTGAAATAAGAGGAGGAGACCACAGGACTGAGGCAAAGCTCATACATTTCTTTAAGGGTGGCATCTTTTGAGCTGGCGAGCAGCTGGTGCAGCTGCTTGTATTGAAGTGCTCCCAGGGAGCAGGGATGGGCTTAACTGGGAGCCCATATAGTAGCACAAGGAAGAGAGTCAAAGAAATAAGGAGACTCTGTCTTTCATGCTTCCAGTTCATTTTTGGAATAAGGAGACTGAGACCTGCAGAGATCCTGGTCCAAGCTTAGGAATGGAGGGTCAGTTACTGTACCTCTGCTTCTTTGACATCACTAAAGACTTGGTCCAAAACACAGTTGAGTCTCCAAAGTATGTGAGGCATGAGAAGGGGCACTGGAAGGGAATAAAACAACACATTGAAATGAATAATTCAAAATGTTTAGTTGCTTTAGACTAAAACTACAGGTCCATAGGCCAAACAGAAAATCAGCTTCTTTAAATGTTTTAAAAACAGCATTGACTCAAGAATGAGAAGACCTGGATTCAACTAGGCTGATTTACATAAAATCACCATTTTTGTAGTTAAAATGAAGTAATGACAATTATAAAGTCCAGCTCCATCAATCTGTACATCTTTGTGATTTGGACAGGGTGTCCACATCTGTCCAGTGATACTAGCCTTATCCAGTTTTCAGGGCTTTGGAAAGAACTGATCTAAATCACACAACTTCTACAGAGTGCCTGTTATGAATAATTGCTTGGGAAACAAAGAAGATGAAGGTACAACCCTTGTTCCCAAGTTGCTAGCAGTCCAGCAGAGGAGACAGAGAACCAAGCAGAATTGGATATGATAAGCAACTATGATAGGAAGCAATAAATCCTGCTTGATTTTAGTTGTTGAGGAGACAAAGGCATTTGAATTGTGCTATAAGGGTTGACTGGCAGCTTTTCAAGCAAAGGACAAGAGTTATCTATAGCAAGAGGAGCAGCCTGAACAAAGTTATGGAGATGTGAACGTGTGTGATGAGTTGATGAATAGTAAGCATTCCAGTGGCTCTAAAATGTACAGAGTATGGAAGGAGTGGTGTGTGGAGGTAGAGAGGTATGAAGGGTCAGGTAGTGCCATTCTATAAAAATGACTGGGTAAGACTGCTTCCAGAAAAATAGAAAAGCATAGAAGTGCTTTACAAATGCTAACTAAGTGTTTTTGACCCTGAAGATGTACAAGGAACTTTCTCTAAAAATTCATACCCTCCTCTCACAGGAGGGCTTGCATCATAGATCGATTTGCCAGATTTCTTTTTTCAGTGTTTCCTCTCCCTAGCAGAACGTTCTATCCTGGGTCTAGGTTAGTGACACATAGGAACTTCCAGAGTGCTGAAGAGTGGGGGGACAGGAAGTGATTCAGTTTGGGTAGGGAGAGTAGTATTTCATTGCTGCCCAAACTTCAACCTGCCCTTCTTCCATATCACTTATTCTGATCTCCCCCAAGGAAGAAGTGAAACCACTACACCCAAGGAAGCAGAGGATCAGTGTGAGCACCCTCTCCTCGCACCCTCACCTTTCTGCTTCCCTGAAAAATCTCCCAGAATGAAGTCATATAGTATTGCCAAGCTTAGCCACATATCTCATTTCCTCTCCCTCCTACCAGCCAAGACCAGTTTGGAGGTGCTGTCTTCTTCCAGTAAATTTTTAGTACCCACACAGTTTTGTACAATCCTATCATACCCTCATAGATCCTTTGCCCCTGCCAGAGCACACAACCTCAACAAGGCAGTGAATGAAATTTAAAGCCCAGGAATTCAATTCCATTTCATTCTTCTAATGGCACCATAAAGTAATTGAAAGAACCAGATAAGTGTTGAGTTCAGAGTCTAGCTTTGCTACTTATTAACTACGTGGCCTTTTGCAACACACTTCATCTCATCTCAAAAATAGAGATGATCATATGCAAATACCAAGGTCATGGTGACAGTTAGAGATAATGTATATAAAGCAAATAACCAACAAAAGAGGCCCAAGACACAGTCATTGCTAT